TCAGTCCCACTCTGTGGGCTGCAATTTCCTTGCCTAAAAAATTAGCGGAGACACACTAGATCAGGGGTTTTCAAACTATGTTCTGCAGATTCTTAGGGTCCTCCAGTGGGGCAAGGTGGGAGTTTGGTTCTCAACTCACTATTTGAGTCAACCATAAGACCACCTTTTTTTTTTTTTTTTACCATTTTATGTAATTGAGTTCTGTCTTGCTTATGCTTAAAAAGGGAGCTCCCCTGCTTAAAAAAGGAAAAACAAAATTTGAAATAAATTTCTTGCGATTTTAAAAGAGAATACCCTCCTATAACCTAAATACCCGCTACAGGGCCTCTCTGTTTCTTGAGATCTAGAAGAGGTGGCTTGAAGGCCCAGCCGCACGCCCATTGGAGGTCCAAAGTCCTCCCCAGGATGTGTGTGTTTCCAGGAAGATATTGTCCTCCTGATCCTCCTTGCCTTGGTGTGGCAGCTGCTTCTGCTGAATGCACCTCCCCCTGCCCCCATGGGAAACTTAGTTTCTTTTCCCTCTCTTAGGCAAGGTCACTTGGCTCTTTCTCGCCCTGGTTGCCAAACACTGCCCTGGATCCATCGTGGCATTTCCAAGCTCGTTGGTGTGTTGAGTAGAACCAGAGGGCTTCCTTTTAACAGGGTCCACTCTCTTCAGAGTCAGTGGAGAATGTAAGTAGTTAGAAATTTCTTTGGCTATCAGGACTTCAGAGCATATGCAAGCATATCACCCAAGGGTCAGTTTTAGTGGAGGGGACCAAAGACTGACTGTAAGGTTGCCAAGGGCAATAAAAAGACACAGAGCACTTAGCCCCACAGGTCTGTTCCTGGGGGTGAAGCCTGGGCTCTGGTGACTGTGCCTGGCTGGGGAGAAATCAAGGTGTGGTGTTGGTGTGGTATTATTTTCTCCAGGGGTCTGATGCAAGCAGAAGGGGAAAAACAGCTAGAGACAAAAAAGACTGGGAGACCCTTTTCTGATCAAACACCACCCTACATTCTTTGGAGAGGACAGGAATAGATGCCCCTGATCAGATGAGGCATTAAAAAAATGGTTATGTAGTCCTGTTAGAGTACTATTTCCAATACCCTGCTACTTCATCAAAGGACTAGTGGGAAAACATTTGCTGATATCACTTGAGAGAAATCTCCTGTGTACTGACCCTTTGGCAATGTGTCTCGCATTTATAATTACTTGTTCAGAGCTGTTTCCTCCTTCTGACTCTCCACAAAGGCAGGGACCATGATTCTCTTATTGACCTCTGTACCCTGAATGCTGAACACAGTGCTTGGCACACTGCAAATCTTGATTGAATGAACAATTGAATGGATTCCCCCATTGCATAGTCATTCTTCCAAGACCTGACAGTATTGACTTTCATCCTGTTCCCATTCATTTCCACCTCTCTGTCCCCATGGCTGCTGCCTTACTCAAGCACACAGCATCACCTCTCCCTGGATGGTCTCCTAGCTGGGCTTTCTGCCCCCTACTCTGGACTGTCCGCCTTAAATCCATGCAACAGGAAAAAATAGTTTTAAAAAATTCCTTGCATATTCATTTATAATTTTATAATCTGGCTATTTAATCCACCTATATTGTAAATTGTGAGATTCTTCTTTGTTTACCATATTAAGACTCATTTGGGGAAGGGGGTGTTCAGGGTAAACCGAACCCCAGTCCCACTTCTTCCTGGGAGCCTTCATGGTCATTTCAACCTGCAGTGATCTCCATAGTCTCTGGAGCGAACTTCCCCAGCAAACTTCCAAAAGCTCTACTCTCTGCCCCTTGTCAATCTCCTCTTGAGAAACTTTCAGTAGCTCTCCACTACTTACATAAGAAAAGCCGCAGTTCTTGCCTTGATGCTAAAAGCCCTTTACCATCTTCTCCACAATTCTGTTGCCACCACCCTGTGTTCCTTCCTGGCTTCCTTGCTTCTGTGCCTTGCGGCCTCTGCCTGGAAAGTATTCACCTCTGTTTTTGTATCTGTATGTCCAAATCCTACTTATTGTTCTTACTGTTATGTTATTTGAACCTTACAGGATGATTCTCATGAAAAGAATTCCATGTTGAAATTAACTTGGGAAGTGTTGTACGTATTATTTTTTTGTAGATTTACAGTGTACACTGTTGAACTCAAGGCTCTGAGAAGACCTGTGACCAAGAAGCCTATTTTACACAGAATGTCTCAAATTCATTTGACAACAGGAATTTCCCCCCCCTTCGTATCTATTAGCATGTTGCAGATTATTTTAGGAATACTTCCCAGGGAGTTAGCAGTAATATCCTTAACTCATTTTTACTGATGAAAATACTGAGGCTCAGAGACAAAAATGCTTGCCCAAGCTAAGTGAAAGGGGCTTTAGTCTGGTTTTCTTTTTGCTGCACTGGGATGAACTATATTTATCATCCAAAGAGGATTTTTAAATTTATTCTCAGAACTCTGGAAGTCAGTTACTTACAAGATCATAACTTTCATTGCTCTTTCCTAATATCTGAACTTTGTCCCACTTCTCTTTTCTAAAAATGATTATTTCCAAGTATTTCTTTGGCTTTTGTTTTCCTGCCAGATGTTTCACAAGCAAGCAACGAAAGGCCTCAATTAAATTTTTCTAAGAGCCTCATCAAACGATGAAAAAAATAGCAGATAAGTTTCCTAGTATCTACTTCATTATGTCAAAGTCATAATAATTGTAAAATGGAGGGATTGGTGGCCTGATTTTAAGGACTCAGTAATTACATGGTGGCCAGCAATGTATGAGTGTATTTCTATTTTAATCTTAGCTTTGGGGGCTTTTGAGGATGTAATTTAAAAACTTCGTATAATTATACATAAAATAAATATTTTATAATTTTAAAAAAGTAAAAAATAGTTTAAAAATTTCTTGCATATTCATTTATAATTTTATTATCATCTGGCTATTAAATCCACCTGTATTGTTAGGTTGTGAGATGCTTCTTTATGTTACTTTGTTTACCACATTAAGATCCGTTTGGTGGAGGAAGTGTTCAGGGATAAACGCAACCCCAAATCCCACTTCTTCCTGGGAGCCTTCATGGCCATTTTAACCTGCAGTGATCTCCATAGTCTCTGGACTACAGAACACTTAGAATGGTCTCTTGTCTTATTCTCTTATTGTTTCTGCTGAGTCTAGTCTCTCCAACTACAGATCCAGTGAAAAACCTTTTTAGCTGATACCTCAGCCCCTCCAAAACAAAGAGCATCAGTAAAGATAATTATGTATATAATTATAAAAGAATATAATTATATATTTCTTCTCCTGACTGATTTAAAAAGCAGTTACGTAAAGCAATACATATATAATTGTACCGTTGGGTCTATAATTCATAGAAATGTGATTTACTCTTCAATAATAGCACAAAGGAAGTAGGTGGTAGCAAAGCCGTATTGTTGTAAGGATGTACCAAATGACTGAATTGTTAGATCCTTATTTTTTTTGGTAACAGTTAACTGTACATATCTGTAGGGTACAGTGTGTGGTTTCAATACAAGCATATAGAATCTCATTAATAGTATGGAGACTAGGGTTGCCTTGTCTTTTTCCTGATTTTATGGGGAATATGGAAATACTTAAAAGGAAGAAACATGAATCTCAGTGTCAGAAAACCTGTGTTGAGTTCTTGCTTTGAGCAAATTTCATCAGTTTGAACTTAGATAAGCGGCTAGCTTCTTTGAGTCTCAGTTTCTTAATTTATGAAATGCAGTTAGTGGTATGATATCTGGCTTAACTTCCTTGTCCTGTTGATCCTTTTGAAGTATCCTAGGCTGTGCTGATGATGTATTGACTAGGGGATTCACCAGTATGCAAGAATGTTCCTTTTGTATCCTATGCCGCAGCCTGCCGCCCCAATCCTTCCAAGTCCAGCACCCAGACATTCCCTTCCCCGCCTCCCCGTCTCCCCAGAGGTCATCCAGTTCTCATTCTCATAAGTCCCCAAGGCAGAAATGAATCCTTCCTTAAATGTCCACAGCTCTTCCTCCACATGTCTTTTCAATTGCACTTATTACATTTAGCCTGAAGAAATCTGTTGTCGTAACTATCTTCTCTTTTAAACTGAGTTTGCTGAAAGGAGGGAAGGCTCCCGTGCCTTTCGTTTCTGTCCTGTCTTAGCAGACACTAAATACAGGTGGGTTACTGAGTGCATTCAACCAGCATCAAGCCCCAGGATGTCAGTCCTACGGTAATTGTTTACGCTCCTACTCATAAAATATTTTGTTTAAAGAATGCTGAGTACAGCATATTCCGGTTAGTTCTTGCAAATCACAGGCTTGTGCTTTCACCTGGAGATTGGCGGAAGGAGAGCAGGGATGCTGTAAAGTCTATAAAAATATGGATACTGCAGAAATCTATAAACAGATATATACTAATATGGTATATTCCTACTTTTGAGGCCGTGACATTTTGAGTAATTTCTGCTCCTTTTTTCTATGTTATGTCAGTTTCCAAATTTCTGCATTGAGCATGTGTTGTTTTACAATTAGGACGAAATTGCTGCTGCTGAAAATGATTATAAAAATAGGCTGCAAGCAAGCCATGCTTCCATTTAAAAGCTCCTCTTCGGTGCCTCAATAAGCCGGGGGTACTCTAATTTTACAGCATTTTAACTTTAGTTTCTAATCAGAAAAAGTTTTAAAGTTTTCTCTAGGGGTCACTTAGGACAAGGAGGTTTGTCAGCTTGAGTTTTTCCTCTTAACGAAATCTAAGCGGTGGAAGTGGGGTAGGGTGGAGGGTGACAGCCCGCGGTTGGGGCCGCAGGAGAAACTCCGGCCCCGACACCCCCGCCCCGCAGCACCGCTTGTGCGCTGTCACTTATTGGCCAGCCGGTCCCCGATCTTGACCAATCGCCCGGGGCCAGGTCGTCATGGAGACGGGGGACGCTCAGGCAGGCAGGCGGTGTCCGAGGGAGGCCAGCTCGCAGGACGGCGGGGGCCGATGGCGCAGAAACTGTACGGTCCACGAGTGCGGGTCGGCAACTGGAACGAGGACGTGTGCCTGGAGGAGGTGCGCGGGCTGGCCGGGCGCGGGCGGGCGGCGCA